AAATCGGGTCAATCTTTCTAGAATGATTAATTATACCAATACAGCAGCGGTCATTAACAGGTGGACTGCGCCGGACCCGGACCCAGAAGCTGTCCCATACGGACCTGGACCGATAGCCCTTTGTCTGCGTTAATGTTCCATTAGTGTTAATAACAGCAGCAAAGCGACCAAAAAGCTGTAATGTTCCTAACAGGGTGACTGCTTAATAACAGCAGTGAAGCGAACACACACAACCAAAAATCCGTAATGTTCCTTAGAGAGTGGCTGGTCTGTCCTGAAATCATATAGCTGAAAAGTTTTCAAATACAGTATATATTATATAACATGTTGGATAAATAGACATAGTTTACTGGTGATTTCATGTTCGTGGAAGTTTCCGCTTTTTAACATATGTATAAAGTAATATTATCTGTTATATAGATCAACTCAGGTGAAATAAAAATTGTACGTTTTCAGCATCTGGCACGTCACTCATGATTTCAGACTTGCGTAGGAAATCTTACGGCAAATCTATATTATTCCATTATAAACCTAAAATGAGCTATGTCAAAAGTGTTTACATAGTTAAATACAAAAGCATACTATTTACAAGGTAAGAACTGTTACATGTGTGTGCAGACATCTCAAATTGAATTGCACTGAATTAATTTGATTTGACAGTCAGGTACTGATTACATCCAATGTTGATACAACTGATATGCTACTTAAATATACATCACACTAAATAGTTAGACATTATGATCTTCCGGACCTTTGCTTCAAGAAATTTTCTCTAACTGGACCTCTTTAAATTTTAGTTGAATACCCCTGCAATAGAGCTATTGAACTAATTAGAATTTTTTAAATCCCAATATCTCAATATATATCACAGAAAGAATAAATATTGCAATGTGATTTATTCCCAATATCGTGCAGCCCTAGTGCATATGTACACCAACTCTGACCCATGCGTGTGAACATTTTGGAGAAAAAAATACGCCTGCAGGTGAAGAGGGTGAGCAATAATGTGAGTGGCATCAGTACAAAAATAATCCCTTGTGCTAGTGAGTCATACACTGTACATTTAATTTAGCTTATTCAGTCACATATTTATTATAGTGAACAAATTGCTTAAAACACATTTGATCACATTTGTGCGTAGCATAACATAATGGATGTTCTGGCATTGTTAGAAGATTATGCCAATGGTAAAATTAGAAGGGAACTGGTGTTCAGGGACCATGAAGATTTTTTGGCCCATGATGATGATGACTGGCTCATAGGCCGATTTAGATTACCTAGATGTGTGCTTTTGGAGCTATGTGCTGAACTGGGTCCAATGTTAGAGAGACCAACCCAAAGGAACCGTGCAATCCCAGTACAAATACAGGTACTGACGACCCTGGGGTTCCTTGCAACTGGCTGTTACCAGCAGGAATTAGCCAACTGGTATATGTCATAATTAACAACAATAAAAGTGTGAATTTCTAAAGCTTGTTTAGGAAACACAATAATAATCTATCGATACATCCATCCATCCATTTTCCAAACCACTTATCCTTGTGTTTAATTGTATTCTAGGTCTGGGATATAACAGTCACTAAGCTCAATAATATCTGTCGTTTTGGATTGGATTATTAAAATGACTAGTAGATGCATTAAGTTCCTTTACACTGTAGGCCAGGGGTCGGGAAACTTTTTGGCTGAGAGCCATGAATGCCACATATTTTAAAATGTAATTCCATGAGAGCCATACAATATGTTTAAAACTAAATACAAGTAAATGTGTGCATTTTATGTAAGACCAACACTTTTAAAGTACAATAAGTCTCTGAATTCTTTTTAATAACGTTATTATGCTGTTGCTAACCAATGATGAATAAAGTACTTCTTACAATTAATGCGACTTCTGGTGCTGCATGGTTTTGCTGATAGCTTTGTAGTCTGGTTGATACGTGGTGAGGTTAAGCTTCATGCAGGCGTTGAGACTTCCATCCGTTAAATGTGATCGTAGGTTGGTCTTAATGTCCTTTTAGATGTGAGAAAGGGTGCTCACATGCATACGTAGAACCAAACATTGTCAGTACAGCAATACTCACACGCTGCAGTGTGTGGTATGTGACGGGAAGCGCGTTCCAAGTTTTGACAATCAGCTGGTGTCTATCTGAAAAGTTGTCATTCATTGGCAACATCAAGCATGAATGTTTTGGCATACTCCCCATCTGTGAATGGCTTTCCGTTTCTCACAATTGCTAAAGTACCAGCAAAGCTAGCCGAATTCCAGTCATCTTGTTGGGTCCAAACACGGAATTGCTGCTGACTAGCTTGCACTCTGCACAGTAGCTCTTGACATGCTTTCTTCCTGCTGTCCTCCACAGGATATTTCGATGCAAATGTAGTATGGCATGTGTCGAAGTGCCGCTTTTATATTTGACCGTTTCATCGATGCAATTTTATCATTGCATATTAGACACACTGCAGAACCTGCTCTCTCCACAAAGGCGAATTCCTTTGTCCATTCCTGCTGAAAAGTATGATACTCCTCCATTTTTTTTTCCTTTAGCCATCTTCTTCGATAAAAGGGTTTCTGCAATTAGCTAGCTGACTACTTGATTAAAAGGAGGGAAGTTTACTTCCTGACCTCACAACGACCCGTCTACGTTACGCATTATCCAATAAAAATTTAGTGTTGTCCCGGAGGACAGCTGTGATTGGCTCCAGCCACCCGCAACCATGAACATGAGCGGTAGGAAATGAATGGATTGAAATACATGAGAATGTTTTATATTTTTAACGTTATTTTTTTTTTCATTAAAGATTTGTCTGCGAGCCAGATGCAGCCATCAAAAGAGCCACATCTGGCTCGCGAGCCATAGGTTCCCGACCCCTGCTGTAGGCTAACATCAACAGGCAATTTGCAGCAATGTCCGGTTTCCCAAATGTCATCAGCGCAATTGACTGCACTCACATTGCAATGAGGGCTCCATATGAAAATGAATTTATTTACATGAATAGAAATGTGCAAGTTATTCGTGACGCTGATATGGTCCTGACAAACGTGTTTGCACGATGGCGTGGTTCAACACATGACTCGTTTATCCTGGAACACAGCAGTGTAGGGAGGAGACTGCAGGCTGGCGCTGTGCGCGATGGCTGGCTTCTTGGTAAGGTGATAAAAACATTGTGTTTTTTATAACTATTCATTGTTCATGTATTGAATAATTCTGTTATGAAATGCAGGTGACAGCGGCTACGCTCTCAAGCACTGGCTCCTCACCTCCCTTTCGAACACCCAGAGCGCACAGGAAAATTGCTATAACGATGCTCACGCTTGTGCACACACTGTTGTGGAGCGTGCGATCAGCCTGCTGAAATGCAGATGGCGATGTTTAGACTCATCAGGTGGCCGGTTGTATTGGAAGCCCGTTTCCGCCACCGTGGAAAAAAATATGTATAATAGGCGAAATTTCGACATAAATTTATATATATGTTTTTTCCACGGTGGAGGAAACGGGATTCCATACAGACAAGCACATCTATCTCGATTTCAGAAAAATTTCTCTTCTTACTTTTCCCCTCGGTTGCCATGATGCCATGAGTTTTTCAAGTTTACATCGGATGCTTAAATATGCATGAGGTGATTTGCATTGACCATGTATGGTTGAACGGGGGGCGTGTAGAAGGCGGAATATGCGGCAAATCCACTTGCGTACAATCCCAGGTAGTGTGTGATTTATAAAGCGTATATTGCTTGGAGGTGTGCGTGCTCATGTTTTTATAAATCTGACTTTTTCTTTGCTTACGTCATTTTCGTCTTTTGAGCGCACATACGCTTTTAGTATGAGTTCTACGCAAAGTTTTATAAATGATACCCCTGATCACTCCAGTACAAATGGTTTATTTTGTGTGCAAGAAATGGAAGCTCCTGTTTTTTTTTTTTCATCAAAACTAAAATGTGCCCTTTTTCGTAAGACATTTTCATTTCAAGTCATTTGTGCTTTGATTTTAACTGTTTGAAATATTCAATGAATAACCATAAATGATTCATAGGTGTGTTTCCTTCAATTATTTTAAAATCATAAAAATAAAATATACAGTCTCATTATAAAAAATTTGCAGCTTTAATAATAATATTTATAGTACAAACTTTAACCATGAAATATAAGGGCAAAAAACAAAATAATTGTTCATTAATTGTAATCGAGGTAAAATGTTCAATTAAAACCTCAATCAATTTCACAATTATCACCCAGACCTAACAATATTTTATTTTTTTTTATTGGCAGACTTTTTAAAATCATTCTGAAGGTACTTTAATAAATATAACAGAGAATCCATCTGATGGAGGTGACTTCTCAGTTATGGAGTTGATCAGAAGGTTGCCGGTTCGAGCTCAGCCTTGCCATATCTGCGGGTCCTTGAGCAAGGCCTTTTAGCCTCCAGCTCCCTGGGCACTGAAACAGCTGGCTACACTTCACGGCCAGCTTGCTCTCACCTACCGAGAGCAAGTTGGAGGCGTAAAGAGAATTTCCCCACGAAGATCAATAAAGTATCTTGATAATGAAAAAAACAACACAAGGTTACAGGATATAATTTCTGTGAGAGAAAAATCCAAATGTAATACCCAAATGTAATACAAAAGTAGTGAATGTTATGTATATGTATAATCTCCTAGCAATAGAGGAATGCACTAGGCCAGTAGGAACCATGTATTCAAGGTCAGATGATAGCATCAGGCCTTAGTCAAGAAATAGCGAGCACTGAAATACCGGAACAAACCATATATGGAAACACACAGTAGAACGCAGGGATAAAAAGAATTGTAAGAAGTGGATCGGGGGAGAACTCCTGAGGTATCTTCCTGGGCTCGTGCTGTAAGATACCACAATAAACTGAAGGTTGAAAAGACTTCACGCTGTCCTGAGTCCTACATCGCGAAATTTCCATAACATTTCAAACATGATTCTCCTATTTTTGGTTGTTGTAGATTTTAACAGAACTCAGCTCCTAAATAAAAGTTATGGTTTAAAAATGCTTGATTAGCAATAAGAGAATTCTGACATGTGAGCTCCATCAGATATTTTAAAGGTTTTGATGTAAACCGGTCAACTGTGTAGCCCTTCAATGGTTGACACCTGATTCAGTACTTCATGAATGTATTAAATTTCATATTTTCTTTAATCACAAAAATCATATGATCTGCTGCACACCCCCACAATTCAGCGGGACCACCAGATCATACGACATATTTCTTACATTGGTTGTGGCACAATTGATTTGTAATCAGGTGAATTTCCCAGTTGGTATAAAAATAGGAACAGGACTTTGAGGTCTTTATGGCACCATCTGAGCTTCATTGCAGAAGTGCTCACCTCTCTCTCTGTGTTCCTATAGCCCCATCGTTAGTGGCCACCTCTCCACCTGGTCACTCCCACATGGAGGATGAGATCTTCCACCACTCCAGCAGCACTCCCACATCTACCACCTCATCTTCCCCTATCCCTCCTTCTCCTGCCACTGGCACCACGGTAAACGGCTCTATCTCACTTCGTCCATGAATGGCATTTTCAAGTTGCTCTTATTATAGAACAGATACATAAACACAAAATAATTCTGCACAGATTTGCCATTAGCGACATGATTATCTCCAATTCTGTTCCCCTTTACTGTAATACGTGTGGCATCAATGGCAAACCCATGATTTCCATGTGCGTTCTGAGTTTACCCAAACCCTATGGAGGTGCTTGATGGTGTCCATTTCTTCAGCATAATCCATTTTTGTGCTAAATCAAATGCAACATTGTTGGGTTATTTCGTCTATGGATGGTTGACGTCCTGATTCAGGGCTGAGTCGTGCCTGTTTCCTTTCGAAGCATTAGAGTAACTGTGGGAAAGTCATGCAGGTTTCATCCTTTCCATCTGACGGCCCCCTGTGTGCCTGCAGCTTAATGGGAGCCACTCACCCGCAGTTTGTCATTAGCTCTCCAGCAGAGCATGAGGATGGGAGGGGCCCATAGCTGCATTCAATCAGGGGGAGTCTGTTCTGTGTTAAGCCTTCAAACTAACTTTTGACCCTCGAGGACTGCAATGCCGGCCTGCTGTCATGCCTGCAGCACAGAAGAATTAGAGTTGTTTCCCTCTACAGCTTAGCTTAAAAGTGCATGAATATATTGCATGAATATAACTCACAAAAGTAATATATTTTTAAATTGTCTTGGTCTTTATAGGAGACTTCAGAGGATGATAAGAAACGTGGAAGGTCTACAGACAGTGAGGTCAGCCAGGTAAGTTCAGAATCCCCCAGGCACCTGTTTTGACTGACCAGCTGGGTTTGACTGACGTACTGCAAGGAAATTTCCATGAACCATTTTCATGGCTGTGAGTAACTAGGTATGTGATCTTAAAGTAAGACACAACCAGTAGATGCTTTTGAATAGTCTTAACTTTCTAAGAGTAGAGAAAACAAATCATTGCCTGACTGCGTCCATCTTCAGTCTACATGATATTAACCATATTAACTCTACTTCCTCTTACAGTCACCTGTAAAGAATGGAAACCCTTCATCTTCCTTGTCCTCCTCCTCATCATCCTCTTCTTCTGGAACCTCTTCCTCCTGTCTTGTCTCCATGGCCAGCACTGCAGCAGGCAGCAGTAGCATGGCTGGGGGAAACACTCTCTTGGGCAGCATGGGAGGCCTCCTGCCTAGCTCTGGCAGCTACAGCACAGTGACTCAGCAGCAGCAGTCAGCACAGCAGGCCCAGCAGCAGAATCAATCCCAGGCCAAGAACTCTGTCAGTTCTGCTTCTTCCAACAGCAACCCCAGTCCATCGAACCTCCTGCTTCCTACGTCTTCTGCCACTTCGCCTCCCAGTTCTAGTGCACCTATTCCCCTAACACCAAATTCACAGTCCCAGGCTCCATCAGGGCCTACCTCTGTTTCTGGCCTGGGGCTTGGGCTTGGTCTGGGCTTAGGAAAAGGAGTGACAGGGGTTAGTGGAAGCAGCCAAGTCTCTGGCCTGGGGCTGTCTGGAATGCCATCTGCCCTCAACAGCATGGCTGGGATGCTCTCAGCTTCCACCCCTGCCCCATATGCACAGGCTGCTGCTTCAGGGGCAGTCGGAAGTGGTCTGGGGGGTTCTGGTGGAAGTAGCACCAGTAGCACTAGTACTAGTGGAGTTGGATCGGGGAGCAGTAACAATGGAAGTGGGTCATCTGCAAGTTTGCTGGGCTCCAGTCCTGCAGTCGCTGGTGTCAGCAGTGGGATCCTGGGCTTAGGTGCAAATCACACTGCAGCCCCAGGCCCTCCACAGGGAGGTTCGAGTCCAGCAGGTGGGTTGGCACCTGGGAGTGGCTTGGGGGTGATCGGTGGCAATGGTGGAACCTCAAGTACTTCTGGAAGTAGCGGAGTCGGAACAGGAAATGGGATTACTGCCAGACCTCCCAGTGGGCAGAAGCAGAATGGGACCACTAGTGAGTTTATATTGACATTTGACGTGTTGTGTTATGTTTGCATTCTTACTTGCTGTTTAACCATTTCCTTTGTGTCTGCAGTGTAACTGAAATGTGGGCTTCAGTCTTGACTGAATGTATGGTTTTAGTTCTTGGAGGTTGGAAACCAATTCCATGTCTTCCTCAGGTTACAGTTCTGTAGTGGCTGACAGCAGTACAGATTCACATAGTGCAGCCAGCCAATCGCAAAGTGGTCAGCCTTCGTCTGTCAATTCCACTGCAAATCCTCCGTAAGTTCTGTTGCAGCTGGATTTTGTTTTGTTGTAAATGAATCATTCTGGTTCTCTTCGCAGTGTAGTTCTTGGTGGATCTGGTAACTGACTGCTTGCATGTTGAGGAAGTTCACTCTTCTCTTCAGTAAGGACAGTGGCTCAAGTCTGCTGGGGTCGATGACTCTGCCACCCAGTTCCCCTTCGCCCTCCTATAATGAAAACAAGTCAAACAGTGGAAATCTTCTGAATGGACCTCATTCCTATACACCAAGCTCAGAAGGCTTGAAGGTCAGTTGTAGTACAAGTTAATACAGTCAGTTCTTTGGCATGTAATTACACATCTGCATATTCACTGTCACACTGCCACGTTGAGCTTGGGGATGGGCTAGTAAGTTGTCATGTTTTCTGGTCATGTCTTGAGTAATAGCATTTAATACCATAAAGAGATGTAACAGGCTAGCTTCCTTAGTGACCTTCCTTCTTAAGTCCACCTTAGACAAGTCTGAATCCAAGGGGGTGAGCCTGACATGAGACGTCATTACCAAATTAATTTATATATAAATTTGAAATTGAGTAATTATCGATGTCACTATGACTGTGTATCCTGCTGAACACATTTAAAGTTGATTACAATTTACAGTTGTTTCTGTAACCAAATACTATGCATAAATCCCCCAGCTTCATGGGTGGCACCACTGCAGGTGGTTGCCAAGCTTGCTCTCTCTTACATGTGTGTCATGGAGTACAAGATGGGATAGGTGAAAAGACAGTTTCCCCTACAGGGATCGGTAATATGTCCATTCATTCATTCATACTTCTCAGAAAAACAAGTGTTGTGACCATTTTATGCCTTAAACATACAATATGGGGTTTCGTGATAATGGGGTCACATTTTTACAGCTGTCTAGCCTAGTACCTACCATCAGCAAGCATAACATTTAATTTTAAATCTGCTCCAGTAACTTAATTTAAGCATGTATTTGACAATATGTAGCTGCCCAGTTTGACACACCACCTCCCGACTGAACACATTCAGCGGGTTAAAGGTACGGTCACACTGGAGAGAAAAGTTTCCAGTGTCTTTGCAAGAATTGAGTGAATTTTATATTGAGTGTAACCCACCCCCACTAATATACTGCAATAACTGTGGTTTTGAAAATACTGTAAGGCAACATGCATGAGAAGCATACTAGCTAGCGATGTGCTAGAGACATAACTGGCATACGTTTTTCTTCCACAGTATTATTAGAAAAACTTTGTCATAACTATGTAAATGTGCCTAAAATAATTATTCTTCTGCACTGTTAACACAAATTACAGCCAATACATACAGTTGAGGACTAAATTATTAGCCCCCCTATGAAATTTTTAAGTTTCTTCAAGACTTTCCAAAGTGCATTTTTAACAGAGCAAGGAATTTTCAACATAGCATTTCTGAACATATTAGTTTTCTTTACAAGGAATAAATTTATTTATATTTGCACACAATAGCAGAATTGTTTCAGGGAAAAAAAAACAAAAATGAGCAGGGACAATATTATTAGCCCCCTTAAAGAAATTACAATTTATTGAGCCCTTGTACAAGCCACTTATGTATAACGATGTGCTTTAACTTCACAGGTGATTTAACTTGTTAAAACTGAAGGTATTAAACTGAGTGTAAAATCCTCAGTAAGGGTCATTCAGCTGTCATTTGAGAAAGCACCATGCCAAAAACAAAAGAAATCAGCTTGGACTTTAGAAAACGAATTTTCGATGCACACAATGCAGGAGAAGCATATACAAAGTTATCACAGCGTTTCCAATTGTCAAGAACTGGAGTGAGAAGTATAATCCAGAAATTCAAAGAGAGCCACACAGTACAGAACAAGCCTGGCAGAGGTAGGAAGCGAAAGATTTCAAAGACTCTGGAAAGGAAACTAGTGAGAGATGTGTCTAAAGACCCCAGAACAACTGCCAAGACACTAAAGAATGACTTGGCCAAGTTGGGAATGGTGGTCTCAAAGAAGACAATCACTAGAGCTCTGCATAGGAATGGACTTCGAGGTTGCAGACGAAGAAGGACTCCACTTTTGCAGAAGAGACACCTTCAAGCTAGAGTAAAGTATTCTCAGGACAACCTGGAGAAAGATGACGCATACTGGAAGCATGTCCTATGGTCAGATGAGACTAAACTAGAGCTCTTTGGCCATAGAGACACTGCTTATGTTTGGAGAAGGAAGAGAGAGGAGTATAACCCAAAGAACACCACCCCCACAGTGAAACACGGTGGTGGGAGCATTATGCTGTGGGGATGCATCAGTGCATCAGGAACTGGAAATCTTGTCAAGGTGGAAGGGAATTATGAACAAAGAAATATAGGTGGAGATCTTAAAAGAAAACCTTAAGCAGTCAGCAGCAAAACTAGGCCTGGGTCGTCGCTTCGTCTTCCAACACGACAACGATCCCAAACATATGTCTCTCCTGGTGAAGAACTATTTCCAGAAGACCAAAGTGAATGTAATGGAGTGGCATGCACAAAGCCCTGACTTATATCCAATAGAAAATCTGTGGGGTGAATTAAAGAAGATGGTCCATGCCAGAAGGCCATCAAATCTGGAGGAGCTTGAGAGATTTGCCAAAGAAGAATGGGCTGGGATTCCTCAGATGAGCTGTCAGAGACTTGTTGAAAACTACAACAAACGACTGCAAGCTGTTATCCAACAAAAAGGATACACAATTGACTATTACTATCCGGAGGGCTAATAATTTTGACCATGGTAGTTTTTGGTTTCTGTGGAATACTTTCATTTCTGTGTGAAAAGTAAAATAGGCATGCAAAATAAAACCCAGATGTCAAAAAAAAAAGCCATGTTAAATATTATTTTTCTCTATTTAACAGCACTTGGGAAATACTTTTAAAACATTGATATTTTCATAGGGGGGCTAATAATTTTGTCCTCAACTGTACTTGAATACTGATTAGGTCAAAAAAAAAAAAAGTAAAATGTATTGGAATTATGTTTCGAGTCCCGTCTGAATTACTGCCAGCCAGGCCATTTTTTAAAATTATTTTATATGTAGGCACTTGCAATCGAAAAGAACAGGGTGCCCAGATAAAGCTACAATAATGAGGGAACTGAGGTGTCAACCCTGCCCATGCCACACCAAATTAGTTTAACTAATGAGAAATGAACTCCAAGTGAAAACGCTCTGCAAATTCACTTCACTTCAGGAAGCAAATTTTCTGGTGGTCACATTGAGTGGCTAGAATGGAACTGAATGAAAGGCATGCTAGTGTGATCGTACCATAAGACTCCTATGTATGAAACTGCTGGTTTGATTCTGCTTCCAGTAGATCAGTCATACCACCATTAGGCCCTTGAGGGGCAGGCTCGGGATAGTTGTTGAACATGGTTGGTTGTGAAATGGACTTTTTTGTACTTTTCGCAATAGCTCCTTCATTCACTTTTGGACCCTATACTGAACTTGAGTAACAGTGTCGACCTGCTGATGCAATTTTTGCTGTCTGTCTGTCATCCCCTCTCCCCCAGGCTCCAGAGCCACTCAGCTCTCTGAAGTCCATGGCAGAGCGTGCAGCCTTGACATCGGGACTGGATGGGGAGGTGCCCAACCTGCATCTTACAGACAGAGGTAAGAGTAGGCAATGGGTTGTTAAGAATGGTATTGACTGTTAGACATCATGTTAGTATGGTACTGTAGGGAATTGGAGAGAATGAACAGTTATTCTTAAATGTCCTGTCATACCTACCTTCCCTGTTCTTGATAGATATCTTCCCTGGTTCTACCACCTCATCTGGCCCCCCTGCAGCCCCCCAGCCTTCTTTATCTGAGGTCAGCATCCCTCCTTCATTGGGTGTCTGCCCTCTGGGTCCTGTTCCCCTGTCCAAAGACCAGCTGTACCAACAAGCCATGCAGGAGTCTGCCTGGGCTCACATGCCTCACCCATCTGACTCGGAGAGGATCAGGTATTGTGGCTCCACAGATTCTCTATGCTTCTCTGTTTTGTTCACATTAAATCTTTCAGCCTTTGTTTTTTGAGCTTTTGGCTTCTGTCTGGCTTCGTCTTCATGTGTTTTTTGATGAAAGTTCTTCTTGGTTTCCTTCTTCCACCAGGCAGTATCTAATGAGGAATCCAAGTCCCACCCTGCCTTTCCACCACCAGGTGCCCCCTCCACATTCAGACTCTGTGGAGTTCTACCAGAGGCTCTCCACTGAGACACTGTTTTTCATATTCTACTACCTTGAGGTAACACTAGCTATATGTGCGCATCCAGAGAGCATGTGGGTGTGTTTGAGGGAGCTGTGGTTGTACTGACATTTGCATTTCACCCTCCGTCAGGGAACCAAGGCTCAATATCTTGCAGCCAAAGCATTGAAGAAGCAGTCATGGCGATTCCATACGAAGTATATGATGTGGTTCCAGAGGCATGAGGAACCAAAGACTATCACAGATGAGTTTGAACAGGTACACATGGTAATCATGAGGATTACAGACCAAAGCAGACCTGTTACTATTAATTCCCATTCACAGGTCCTTTGGTATGATGTGAAAAATATTCTGCTCATTGCCCAGCCTGTGGGCCTATGTTAAATTTATAATTAAGTTCCTCAGGGGTACATTTAGTGTAAGATAGCAGACTTATTATTCAGCTTTACTCTTGGGTTTTTCTGCAGTTTGAGTTGCAGCAGGAATAATATATATATATATTTTTTTTAGGGGACGTACATCTACTTTGACTATGAGAAATGGGGCCAAAGAAAGAAAGAAGGGTTCACATTTGAGTATAGGTACCTTGAAGACCGGGATCTACAGTGAGAGACTAATGATGGAAAAGGGTTTGATACTGTTGACATTCCTGGACTGAGCTGAGTACAGCAAGGAGAGACAGGTGCTGAATGGAATTTAATGCTTCATAAGAATGCATCTGAACCTTCTTCCTGGCCTGAGGCCCCCTCACCACCACATACCCACCATGTGAACGCATTTGAACCTCCTTCCTAGTTCTGTGCCCCCACCCTCTCACAACCTCTATCATTAGTTTGAAGCTCTTTGGGATCGAAATGAGCTAGAGGTCTGTATTGGAAATGACTGTCTCTCTATGTATTTTGGTGTAGCTCGCAGTTCTGTTGAGAACCAAAGATCATTGGACATCGCTTCCATTTGGAAGTGTGGCAGTTGATAAAGTGTCAGGAGAAAAGTCAAGACAAAATTGGGGAGACCTCCAGGACCATGACATTTGACAGCGTTTCTCCCCCTTTTCAGTTTCCGAAGATGCAGCCTAAAAGCAAGTCTAGATTACCACTCTTGCCAAAAGAACATTTGTAGACCTGCTCTATCACAGCCCATAAGACATCTCATATCTCTGTCAAACCTGCACAGAGCCAACAACTATGCAACAAAGCCCAGCTTCATCGCTGTTACCAAATCTAAACCATGGGAGTTACTGTGAAATTTGAGCAGTGCTGAGGCTTAAGTGAGACAGGATTCTGTTAAGCTCAGGAGTTGACAGCGTTTCCCATTTTGGCAAGTGTAAAACTGCATTCTGAGTAATACATTCAGAGTAGCACTTCAATAAGACACTAAAACCAGGCCCCCTTATGAATTAACACTTTGGTTCCCCCCCATAAAAATAATGGGTATTAGCCAAAAAATTTTATATGAATACTTTGTGGCTTTGCAAGGTTGCAAAATTTGGTGAACACTCATTCTTCTATTTGAGGTCCTTTTTTTCTTGGCTGTTTAGTCATGCTTTAATTTTTTTAATGTGGGAGTGCAATCTTAAATGAAGTAAAAGTATTACATTATCTGAGGGATGGAGCGGAATAAAACCCAGACTTTATGCCCCATAAATTGAACGCCCAGTTTCATTATTATGTTTACTTTTGGTGAGAGAAGGGAATTTAAGAATTCAGAGATGAAATGTGAAATTCTCTAATAATGTTGTATAGACTTTACATGCTTATTTGTTGTCATCTAGACAGCATGGTAATTAACACTTCAAGCGAAGCTGAAAAATATCCATGAAAAGAATTGTAAAATATTAATAAAATTACTTTTCAGAAATGTCTGCACATAGTATGCCTTAATGCATTTATGCTTAATTTACAGGGTTCTGGTTTTACTTGCATGGGATGCGTATACATTAAAATGAGTCTGGGCTTAGAACGTGTGCTGCTGTGTAAGTGGAGAATGTGCACAATGGAAGTCTTTTAGTTGTCACTGTCTCCACTTCACTTTGCCATGCTAAATGGACGTTTGTAAGTTTTTATGCTTTAAATCTGTTACTGTATGAGTTACTTTACAGCTAAACATATTTCTCTTGTAAAAGGCCATAACTTACAATGTTACTCATGCCACACAAACACCAATCTCAACAAAATGCAAAACAGAAAATACAAAAAAAACCTGGCATTACAGTATAGAAAATATAACCTTGAAATATATTAGGATGTAGAGAACAAAAAAATAGCAAATTAACTCCACCTCAGTGAATGTACGTTGGCTCTGATCTGTCTGGCTACAGAAGTTCATCCACCTCACACGTCATATTAAATTTTGCTATCCCACAAGGCAAATATTTTTTGTCCTGGATTTTCATTGGTGGCACTCCTTGAGGTACTGAGACCGGACCAGTGGCCAGATCTCTGTTGATGGGTACACCTATTTGTCTAGTTGCTCTAATGGCTTCTATACTCGGAGTCATTGCTGTGGCTAGGTCCTGGTTTCAGCACCCTGAGTTGCATCATTGGCCTTGGTACTCCAATACTGGTAGTGCGGTGAAGGAGAGAAATTACATCCTTGTGAGCAGGTGCAAGAGGTTCCTACAGAACTGCAGGGTCTACAGAAGTGCCCAGTTTTTGAATTCTGACCACAGACTTGTTGCTGCTCTGAAAATTCTGCTTAGTTCCAGTATTCTTATGTTCTTATGCTACCACTCACTAGAAAAATAGGGCTGATTCTTAATGAGATTGTTTGCAGTGTGTGTGAGGATCTTGCAGACTTGGGTGCAACTGCTGATTCTAATATAATATGGAATACCTTCTGTGATAACGGTCTGAAGGTATTTTAGGGTTGAGTTGATGTTGCTGCTGTTTCCAGAAGAAGGCACTTCATCTTGCAGGGCATCCTGATTATTATTGAGACGAGTTGCAGTGTGTGGTTCAGTGGCAGCTCTGGCTGTAATGGGAACTGAGAAGTACGGCTGTGTAGGCTCTGAGAGCAGATGAGGCATTTATTAGGGGAATCTGTGAGCAAGTGGCAGTGCATCTGTGGTCTAACGGCCCACAAACCGCTTGCAGAGGAATCAGTTCTTCACATATTTGAATCTGTTCCTTGCAGAGTTGCGGATCATGGAACAATCCTTACAGATGACTCTGAAGTTGTGATCCAGTGGGTTGGCTACTTTGAGCAGCTGTTTAAGGCTGATCCTCCAACTAGGATGTTGATATCTGTGGGTCCACGGTTCTTGAGGCTGATTCTCCAACTAGTTATGAACCACCCAGAGGGTGGGACTAGACTACATGTTGGCCTGGGGAGTCACCAACCAGGATCCTGAGGTGTTTCGTCGTGTGGTGGGCACACCATCATTCTGTACCAGTGCATGCTTCCTGACCAGAATGGTCTGAGCGTCTGACAAATGCCAGTTTGTGATGGCTGGACGACTGGATCAGTGCATCTGCAACATGGCAGATCTTGTGCAGTGCTCCCAGAATACGGTGGTATACAGTGGTTAGTACCTACCAAAAATGATCAGAGGAAGGCCAATCAGTGGACCAGCAACTGGGTCTTAGGCACCCAAGACTCATTGATGCGTGTGGGGAGCGAAGGCTAACCTGTCTGGTCCGATCACAAAGGTGAGCTACTGTAGCACAAATTGCTAAAAAAAAGTTAATGCTGCTTATGACAGAAAGGTGTCAGAACACACAGTGCATCGCAGCTTACTGTGTATGGGGCTGCAGACTGGTCAGTGTGTCCATGCTGAATTGCCTACAATGGGCATGTGAGCGTCAACACTGGATCATGGAGCAATGAAAGAAGGTGGCCTAGTCTAAAGAGTCATGTTTTCTGTTAAATCATGTGGATGGCTGGATATGTATGCGTCATTTACCTGGGGAAGAGATGTCACCAGGATGCACTGGTGACATCTCTTCCCCATCACACTGCCTCTGCAAACTTGCAGAGGCAGTGTGATGAGGTCCAAGGTCCTCTCCATGATTGTCAGCATGGAAGATGCTGTCTGGGTGATGCTCTGCACGCAGTATTTAGCAAAGGGCTGACATTTCTGCCAACATTTGCCAATTGCTCTCATCTGATCACGCAGCACCACGTACCATATGTTTGCAGTGGCTTTTTAGAGTCTCATAGTGAGATTGCTGTAAGCTTCGTTCATCTGCACTCTCCGAAAAAAAGGGTACAAAAATTGTACCTTTGCTTGTTACTGGGGCTGTACACTCAAGGATCTGATTTCAAGGATCTTGGCTGTTGGTAATTGTTCCTTTTAAGGTACAGAAATGGTCTCTGACGTACATTGATGATACATTAATGCTGTTTGTACCTTTGGGTTTTGCTCTAGGGTTGTTGGAGAAAGAGGGGCCTTGTCAAGGCAGTGTCTGGGTGACTGTACCTTAAAATATTAACAAGACATGACTGAGGCACAACCACAATCGTCACAATTACAGTTGAAAATATGACACAAAGTATGACCCCATTAATGATCAAAATACAGATATGAAGACATATTTATTGCTTAATTTTTTTTATTGAAATTTATGTATATAACAAAAATTAATAACTAATCGAAAATGCTTTAACTGCAAGCTTTAATGAAATAATGTATAATGCATACAAGAAGCCAAATGCTTTTGAAGTCAACATACTGTATATATGATTATGTTCTTAAGCTAATTCTCTGTAAGCCACAATTTTCCAGTTTGGTGACTTACATAGAAACCAAATACACAGTTATTCAGGCTCATACAGTTAAGAGGTCTCTGCTTAGAATCACAACTATGTTAAGTTCTCACCTAGCATTTTGTAACCACTCTTCACAAATTTTCTAAAATAAAAGTCCAGGTTACAATACCACTGTTTATCAGAGATGCATTTCAGCTAGATGTTGCAGAAGGGTGCACATTTATCAACATAGTGTTATCTCATAGCTGCATCACAGACTCATAACTCACTAAATTTTCATGTGTGTTTTGACATTTTCATTTTATCAGATACTTATTCAAAGTGACTATATCTATCCATCCATCCATCCATCTAGGATCATATAATCCCTGGAGCAATTTGGGTTAAGGGTTTTGTTCAAGTTTTCTCCAGGTTCCCCCAACAGTCGAAAAACATGCTGAGTTGAATTGGAGTTACTAAATTGCCCATAAGTGTGAACACTGGTGTGTGTGCCCTGTGAACTGCTCCTGGGTTATTCCCTGCCTTGCATCCACTTCTGGGATAGGCTCCAAACCCCAAGCAAGTCTGCACAGAACATGCAGGTATAGAAAATATATGGATGGATTTTAGTCAAGGGTCCAGTGGTGATATGCTGCTGAACCTGGGATTTCAAATTACCGATTGCAAGCACATCAACCCAGCCCAATGAGACACAAACCCCATGGATTTGGTCAACTTGAAAGTCAAACCTGGGTCCTAAGGCCCACCAGTAGTTGATCTTAAAGCTGCTGAGTTATCCAGCTAATATCACACATTTAAAGTTTATTCTAGGATAAAAAAACATAATGGTCACAATGTTACAACCTATGCAGCGCATACTCAGAACAAATTTAGAAGTCAAAGGAGGACAATACGAGCTGCAGAATGCATTTATCCTGCACCCACTTTGTCTTAAATGAATAGGACTTTCATTATTTTGGTCTCACGTTAAAAGTATTTTGTCTAGTGCTGCTGAGTTTGGCTGTGTAGGCAGACTGTCCTAATTGCCGGTACTGTCCGCTATATACCAAAAAAGCAGTACATTACCTGGTCAGCCAATAGGAACAAAGGTTTATAATCATTTAAAATATATATATATGAAAAGTACTCAGGTCATGTTCCACTTATTTTTAAGTATATAAGCTATTCCATTAAAATATCATAATAAGAGGCAGGTAAAGTAGGACACCAAGTTAACTGGGACAGTGTTAATGGGACAGTTGCAACAAACTGAATCTGTTTCTGACACCTGTTTTAAACCTAAACATTAGTCTACTGCGTTGACGATAATAATCAAGGTAATTTGGTGTATCAGTTGCTTTATGTTAAACTTAGTTAAAAAATAAAAATAATGTTCATTCAATACTGCATCCGTCTTCCACTTGCTTATCCTAGTGAAGGACATGGACTGGTGCATTGTAGGGCACTTACACTCCATGTGCAAGTCAGAGACATTGGTTTCATTGCATGTCTTTAGACTGCGAGAGGAGCCCAAGGTACCACAGTGGAGATGCAATTCACTGCCCCAGCCCTGCAGATTTAGGGCAATCCACAGAGCTATCTTCCTTCAAAATTGTATAATTCTTGAGGACCCAACTCTTTTTCACATTATAGTTTATTTGTACCTTACACATCAAAATTCTAGTCTCATACTTTGTTTCTTAAACAAATTAGAACATTTATTTTGGACTCGCCATAAAATGTCTGATATAGACTGAAAAATGCCAAAAAATATGAAAAACTTTTTTCCCCCCATTTCAATTATTCCTAGCTTGAATAGTCATCATTATTGTAAAACTTAACCAGCACATATCATATGCAGATCTCGGGGTGGCAAGGGATGGTTGTGGTCACCCCATTGGCCACCCCCGTCATATCTGCATTTTCGTTAAATCACTTTTATTTAAAAAAAAGTCCTTTTATTACATAACTGTTTCTCTGTGTCCCTGATGATATACTGATAAAGAATGAGGTCATTGTGCTGCCGAGGTAAACATGTGCTCTTAGCACAGTAGTAATGCAAAAGTTTGGGGATCTTGTACTTGGTGTAAGCTAGATATGATAGCTGTGAGAAATTGATACATTAAATTGATAATTGATAATGCACCTGAATCATAAACAATGTAGTTATAGCAT